AAGATGTAAAGATAAAACAAAATACTTTGTAATGTTTCAAGAAGTGTACTAACCTATTTTAAGACTGAAAACATGTCAAATGTTAGGTCTTATTGTAAGAGTTGATATTGTACAATATGCAGAAACCAGGAAAATAGGAGGAACAGATAGATAAAGAGAAAGCATAGCTAAATGAAATTAGTGATAGCAAAGCAAATGCTAAATTCCTAGAAGTTAGAAAATGTTAGAAAGAAAGTAAGATAAAAGAAAAGATTGCTCCTTCCCTCCCAAAAAAGAAAAGGAGAGCTGAATTAACATTGAAATATAACATGGTGACCATAATTATAAATATACTAAAATTATTCCCGCTTCTATCATTAGTGCAGTTTTTTCTGTATGCTGGAGAAAATATACATTCTAAATTAGTATCCTCACTATCCAAAAATAACTTTGTCAGAGAACACACCTGCTAAACGTGTAATTTCATGAGCAAAACCTGTATTTGCTGAATATTGTGTTGCAGCTCTTGTAATAATAGGTAACAGACCTATGATGTGATTGTTTCATATTTAAACGGTTTGCAGAGCAATATGATTTCCAGTAGATCATATCAAAGTATCTGCTATCAAATGTTGTCACCAAAAAAAAAAAAAATCACAGAAAAAACGTTCAGTAGATGATTTGGAAAGTCAGACTCAGATCTGCAAGGCATCAGTAAATTATAGGTCAGCACTTGAAAACTGGGATTGCTCTTTGCTGAAATTTTGCCCCATAATTCCTTTGCAGCCTCACAATCTGTCTGTATAACCAGAAATGTAAACATAAAGTTCTTTAAGTACAGAAACTTAAAAAATTGATTTCCTTCACTTTTTCTCCTGGGGCTCACTCAGTGTCAACTGAATTCTTTAAAAGCCGTAAAGAGCACTGCACTGTCCAGTTTTTACTTATAGAACCTAAATGCTCTTTCTGCCACCCAGTCTCCACAACATAAATACTGCAAATCGCCTACAGAGCTCATAAGGCACTGTGTTTCCTCCTGTACATCTATCTCCCTGGTTGATCATATCACCATTACAGATCTAGGTCCTATATTAATGCCTTTCAACAACGATCCTATTAATTTGCCTAATGGCCATTCATGTAGATAAGGACTTCTAAATGTAAGTGAGAATTTTAGTGGTGACTGCTTAGCAGGTACAGCTGGAGCCAAATTAAGAAATATATAAGCATATGCTTATAACGTACCTTATATATATAAAAGAAATTTAAGAATGTGTTCCACTTTTATTTCTCTGTTCTCAGCATCTCTCTCAACTTCAGAGGTCATCCACCAACAGCACAGGTGCCAAAAATGCTGCTGGGCAGGTTCTGAATGGCACATGATAGAGTCCTGAGTGAAGGCCTCATCAAAAGGCAACACACAAGCAGCTGAGACTCCTGGACTGCTCTGTGGAGATGCAATATATCCCCAAGCCAGCAATTGACTGCACCTTGCCTTTTTTCAGAAAAAGTGTGTTTGAGCTTCTACTACATTTCTACTGATACACCTTACCTCTAATCTATGAAAGAGAAATGAAGTGCTTGCATGCCATCCTTGCCAATCCCTAGTTAGTTTATTATTCTGTTGCTTATATGGGGCAGACTCACATTCCTGCCATACAGGCTGAGGGAGGGATGTTTTGTAGCTCCTCAGTATGAAGAGGAAGGTAAGTCAGATCAGGCCAACTGTGGGGGTGGAGGCAGTATTGAATAAAAGGGTTTGAAGGCACAACTCTTGAAGTGCAACCTCCAGCCTGAAAGAGATCAGCTGGGTCCAGCTGGGCTGTGTAAGTGTGGCCACCCTAGGGAGAGCCCAGTCTGGCAGCCCAGAAGCTTCTACAGGTTTTATGGCTACTGGTCTAGCAGTCCAGAAGCCATAAAAGCTCAGCTGCAGGTTCATCAAGCATGTGGTGGAGTTAAGGCTGTGGGATGCCACCTGCTGCAAGAACCCTGACTCTCCAAAGGGCCTTTTGATCAAGCCAGATAGCTGCACACCTACGACTGGTGCGTGATTATGTGTATTTATGGGTCTTCAAGTGGGTGTTTTCCTCCTAATTCTGCACACCTCCCTTCTCGTTCAATCAGATACACTCTCAGTAAAGCTAAATTGAATGCATCTTGTATCTGACTAGTTACTCTTTTGAGTAACTACATATTGCAGAAGTCAGCATGACAATCTTTCATAAAGGAGGGTTAAACTGCCAACAGGGGCCAGGTTCACTAAGTATAAAGCATGCCTTGTTTGTATTTATTTATAGCTCTTGTTCTAAATAGTCTTATTTTCTCTGTATATAGAAAATATTTGGGTTCTATATTCTGGCAGACAGTTCCACAGTTTGGCATAGCATTTAAAAAAAGCACACACGTGCAAAGAAAATCCATGCATGTTTCATTTACGTCGAATGGTCTTTCTGTGTGTCTTCCTGATCAACCTGCCCAACAGTCCTAATGCTTTGGTGATGTCTCTTCTCTATATGTTGCTGAATGCTGTCGCTGGGAGATCCCATGGCAGTTGGAAGCGTTAGGAGTTCTCAGTTGGCCTCCCTTGGCTGGTAAGAGCCACATTCATTTATAGAGCAGCTTAGCAGCATATCTCAGTTTTTAGGTGAATAGTGGTAACAAAATCAGTTTTTTTTCCTTTTCTTTGAGACCATTACAAGTGATAAAAGAAATAATAACGGTAGTTTCCGACAGTTAATATCCTAAAGGAAGAAGTAAATGTCTAAATAGTGGACAGAGCTCTCTTTCAGGGCCTTGGGGAGGGGGAAAAGTTTGTACAGCTCTTCCAGATTTTCAGACTTCTTTATCACATTCAGGCAGACCTCTTAGCAACAGGCCAGCAATCCACATCTCTGTCTTAGATAAAAATAATCTGGACCAGGTAAATAACCTGATTTGTTTCTCACACAATGATACACTTTAAACAGAAATATGCCTAGATTTTTTAATGCGTCCTTTGGTTCAAATTTGCAAGAGATGTATGCATCTTATTTCGTGGGGAGAGGAGAGGTTATATCACTTTTCATAATTAGGTGTTATTTATGATTTGTAGTTCTTATATGTTCTCTACAGCAAGTTCATGTCAATTAAATGCCTGGAGAAACACTTAGTTCCCATTGCAATTACTGATGTAATGCATTGTGATAAAGGAGTAGTTTACTATATTCTATGTGGGCAACTTTGCTTGTTGCTATTTATATTCAAAATATGCTAGCTCTTCACAGCATAAAGTAAGGCACTGTCCCTACCTAGAAGAAGTAGCAATCTGAAAGACAAGGCTACAGGAATGAAGGCTAGAAGAAGGTCAGTAAGTAAAGTTTTGCTAATATCACATGGCTCGATTC